TTACTTTATTCTAGTCACTGCTTTATTTTTTTTTTAAATAAAGAGGAGAAGGCTACTAGCTATAATAGAGCTGATCCTTTTAAAACAAGGAATGTACCACTTTCTCAAGTGGTTGATTTGTAGACTTTTAATTTCTAGGTAAAACTGCTTTGAGTTCCTTTCTGGCCTACCGTTTGTTTGAGCTGAGCATTGTACCCTGGAAGTACAGGAGAGACAGGTTCAGAGTGAGGAAGACCAGCAGGGAGGCCCCGTCTGGCTCTCAGAGGGAGAGAACGGCCAGACCTGTAGCCTTTGCTGCACCAAGATGCCCCCAAAGCAGGGCTTTGGGCTTCCTTGATGTTTTCAAGTGCACGGGTCCTCTGCTTTGTACAAACTTAATTTCATTCAGATAACCAGTCTCTGTTTTCTTGTCCCTTTCCCATTTCCTTACTGGATTTTTTCCTAGAATACTTGGCTTGATTTTTTTCCTTTTTTACCCACCACATATAAGCGTTCTGTTTCCTGCCAAGCTGAAAGGTTTCAAGGTGTGTTCTGTTTCATATGAAGACCTCAGCCTTAAAAATTCTGTTAATGAGGTTGCTGTTACTTTTCTCAGCTTTCACCAAGTGTCTGACTTTTATTTGCTGTACTGTGTTGGCTTTGAAGGATTTCTCAGTGGTTTAGCAGTAATTTGAGTAATGAAGACAGTGCCACAGGTAATTGCCTTTGTTTTCTTATGGCGGAAAAGCCTTTTCCACTTCTATATATGGCAAGTCTTACTAAGATGAAAACTCTTAATCATAATCACAAAGAAATAAATGTGCAAACTAGTTGTTGTGTGTTATGAATTCTGTTTCAGATTTTCACAGTTATCTTTGAAACTCTTTAGTAATATCACATAACTGCATATTGTTTAGGGTAAATACGAAAATGGATTTTTTTCCCTAAGAATCAGGAACTCTAGAAGAAATTATGAGTTATACTAACATACCACTGAGGTATACAGGTAAGATCGTATCATGTGAGGCAGAAGTCCCCAGCTGCTGTGGCACCAGGGACCAGTTTCATGGAAGACAGGTTTTTTGTGAATTGTGGAGGAAGGTGATTTCAGCATGATTTGAGCACATTACATTTATTGTGTACTATATTTCTATGAGTTCACCATAATGCGGATCAGTGGGAGCCCTGAGCTTATTTCCTGCAATGAGATGGTCCCAGCACCAGTATCACTGCCTCAGCTCCACCTCATATCATCATCAGTAGATTCCCATAAGAAGCCTGCGACCTACACCCCTCACATAGACAACTTACATTCAGGGCTGGGCTGCTGATCAGGCAGGAGGCGGAGCTCAGGTGGTAATCGAATGATGGGGATTGCAAATAACAGATGAGGCTTTCCTGCAAATTCCTAACGCCTACTGGTCCGTGGCCTACAGGTTGGGAACTGCGGAAATAAGGCATCTTTTAGACTAGTGTGATTTTCAACCAATGTGTCACAAAAATTGTTAAAGATCATTAATTATTTTCAAAAGAAGTTAAGTATATATTTTTTTTAACTCTGTTTTGATCAACATAATTTAAGAATGCCATGGAAGTTTAACTATAGGTTCAAGTGTGCATGAGATAAAAAAGGTTGAAAAACACTACTTTCAGACTGAGGAAAAAAACCAAGCTGAATATGGGGTCATATGTAACGTGGACATAATGTATTTCTCATTCAGTTCATAAATAAGAGGACCTAAATATTCTATTAGAAGCTACTGATCATATTTAAGTTTTTAAAATCATAGTAGATGGAACAGACCTTCAGAACTGTTGACTTTGTAGAGAAACAGAAGTCAGAAAGCTTAGTATTCAGGGATAGACATCAACAATTGACCGTCTGTCAGAAATAGTCTAGCAAAACTTACCTTGCATATTTTCCAGGAGAAAATGATAGGACTGAGCCAGGGTTCTGGTAGAGATTAGTGGTGATGAGACGTATGTAACAAATTCTGCTTATCACCAGAAAAAGTAGTTTATTCAGCTTCTAAATTTAGTTGACTGCCAAGATTACATCCATGGAATGCATGGTTGTGAAGCAGCTGTTAAGGACTATGTAAGGGGCTGGGCAAGGTGGCTCATGCCTATATTCCTAGCACTCTGGGAGGCCGAGGTGGGTGGATAGCTTGAGCTCACAGGTTTGAGACCAGCCTGAACAAAAAGCGAGACATCCCCCCCCCATCTCTATGAAAAACAGACAAAACTGAGCCAAGATAATTGCTTGAGTCCAAGTTGGAGGTTGCTGTGAGCTATGATGACATGATACTCTACCCAGGGTGACAGCTTGAGACTCTGTCTCTAAATAAATAAATAAATAAAAAGGACTGTGTACGGTAAAGCTGCTTTCTAGAATGTAGGCTTTCCTTAGTTGATAGAGTTTTAAAAAATATGTGAAAAGCTGCCAGGCGCGGTGGCTCATGCCTATAATCCCAGCACTCTGGGAGGCTGAGGCAGGTGGATTGCTTGAGTTCAGGAGTTTGAGACCATCCTGAACAAGAGTGAGACCTTGTCTCTACTAAAAATAGGGGGAAAAAATTAGGTGACTGAGTAAGACTCTGTCTCAAAAACAAACAAACAAAAAGTTTGCGTTTTATTTAGGTCTTTCCTATTTGATAATATCATAAGAATCCCCTGCAATTCTGGTTCTATAATTTTGGATTAGCACCTGGCAACGGACTGTTTAAATTAATTAATTGGCTTTATTTTTAGGAATATATACTTTTAACAAGCACCCGAGATGATAGAGTTACATCAGGATTTACTGAGATAAATGATTTCATTTGTCTTCTCCCAGGCCCCAACTTTCTCAACAACAAAATGAAAAGGTTTTTTTTTGGTTTTTGTTTTGTTTTTGAGACAGAGTCTCACTCTGTTGCACAGGCTAGAGTGCCATAGTCTCAGCCTAGCTCCCAGCAATGTCAAACTCCTGGGCTCAAGCGATCCTCCTGCATCAGTCTCCTGAGTAGCTGGGACTACAGGCATCTGCCACAATACCCGGCTGAGTTTTTAAATAGAGATGGGGGTCTTGCTCTTGCTCAGACTGGTCTTAATCTCCTAAGATCAAGCAGTCGGCCCACCTTGGCCTCATAGAGTGCTAGGATTACAAACGTGAGCCACTGCATCCAGCCAAAATGAAAGATTTGACTGGAAAGATGTGTTTTTTGTGATTTCTATTTTCCTAATGATTATATTAAGAGTTCCAATATGTTTGATGGGATATGTTGTAAAGAACTGAACCTTCTGTTTATCAGAAAAAGTAATATAGAAAACCTATAAAAGTTGTTTTTGTTTTTGAGACAGAGTCTTAGTATGTTGCTCTTGGTAGAGTGTTATGGCGTCACAGCTCACAGCAACCTCTAACTCTTGGGTTTAAGTGATTCTCTTGCCTCAGCCTCCCTAGTAGCTGGGACTACATGCGTCTGCCACAATACCTGACTATTCTTTGTTGCAATTGTCATTGGCGTTTAGCTGGCTTGGGCCATGTTGGAACCTGCCACCTTCAGTGAATGTGGCTGGCTCTATAACCACTTTGCTACAGGCGCCGAGCCTTTTTTTTTTCTTTTGAGACAGAGTCTCATTGTGTCGCCCTCAATAGAGTGCCTTGGCATCTCAGCTCACAGCAACCTTAAACTCTTGGGCTTAAGTGATTCTCTTGCCTCAGTCTCCCAAGTATCTGGGACTGCAGGCGCCTGCCACAATGCCCGGCTAATTTTTGGTTGTAGTTGTCATTATTGTTTGGCAGGCTTGGGCAGGATTTGGACCTGCCAGCTCTGGTGTATGTGGCTGGTGCCATAGCCACTGAGCAACAGGCGCTGAGCCGATAAAAGTTTTAATAAAAAAGTTATTAATAAAATAGTAAACTTTTAATAATTATTAGTAGTTCATTTCCAAATATTGACAATGGGCTATAATAAAACACCCAAAGCTGGTAGGATATATTATTGTCTTCTATTCTGTGTGTGTTTAAAATATTACTGCTATTTTTAAATTAATAGTTCTTAGATGTAGCAAATTGACTTAAGTTTTGAGCAGTTAAAAAATCTTTTTTATAGTTCTCATTATAATCATGGTAATTCTTTTTTATTTTTTTGAGACAGTCTAACCATATCACCCTCGGTAGAATGCCATGGCATCACAGCTCACAGCAACCTCAAACTCTAGGGCTTAAGCGATTCTTTTCCTCAGCCTCCCAAGTAACTGGAACTACAGGCACCCACCACCACACCTAGCTATTTTTTGGTTGTAGTTGTCATTGTTGTTTAGCAGGCCCAGGCTTTTCAACCCGCCAGCCTCTGTATATGTGGCTGGCGCCCTAGCCCCTGAGCTACAGGCGCCGAGCCAATCATGGTAATTCATTTTCTTTTGCTAGTTATCTTAGCACCTGAACATATTTAGCCATTTTAAATACATCTTTGTTTAATACCTTTAATATTTATTGTAGTGGCTTGATTTAAAAGCCCAGTCCATGGTTAGAGAGAGATGCCCCCCTCCAACTCCTCACCCCCAAGACACAGTTGTCAAGCAACAGGGGGTATTTATCAGTTGGCAAGTTAGTATTGGTGGTTCTATTCTTGACCCAGTGACTTCTGTTTAAAGTAAGTGGATAACTGGGGGCTATTAACACACTTATCCATGGATCATTTTTATCCCCTATGTCTTTTCCAAACCTATCTCATATGGGAGAATAACTGGTATTTCTTAAGCTCTATGAAGTGATAACCAGTGACTGATAAGAGTTGATGTTGTTTGGGGGAGGCCCTCACGAGCAGAAGCTGAAAGTCCCATGATTTTGAGTTTACTTCTTTTGGACTAATTTAATTCCTTGAGTTTGTAATGCTCATTAATTTCTGGTAAGCAGGGGATACCTTCACAACACCCTTAAGGGTATACAGATTATTAAAACTGTTTAATGTATGTGCTGTTTTGAATGGTATACGTTGCAGATCTAATCGTGGTCCATGGTGTTTAATCTATTTTAGAAACTGGATGGCTTCTACAGGGAGCCAGGCCTCTGATATAGACGAGATTTTTGGATTCTTCAGTGATGGCGCACCCCCCACCAAAAAGCCCAGGTAAACAAGAGAAAGGAATCAGAGAATCAGTAAATTACCAGTAGTGGGAAATTAAGAAAAATAACAAACTTACCTTTTATTCTAGCTGTTTTGACCTAATAATTATTGACTTTTATATAAGAAATTATTTTTATTTTGGATTTAATTTTTTTATGTAGATATGTACATGTACATAGTTTTAAAAGTCAATACTTGAAGGCCCACCCCTCCTCAGAAATAATCACTTTCAACTTTTGAATGTTTTTTCTAATATCAACATCCATATTTTTAAGTACCATATGGGTGTTGCTACTTTGTGCCTTTTCAGTTTAATTTATTTTCCAATGTGGAAGATAAGGATTCAATTAGCACTGGTGCCACCCCCATGCTGCTCCATGCTCCCTGATCCTCCCTGTATGTTTATATTACAGTGTTTGGTTTTAACCAGTTTTCAATATTTACATTATTATGACTATAAAAGTAGTATTCATAGCTGAGCCTAATAATGTGTTGTGCTTTTATTTCCCTACTTGCTCATTTTCTCCTCTGTGTTGTTAAATATCTCATGTTTTTGTTTTCTATGTACCTATCAGTTTATCCTCACAGACTTTGACAGAGAAATAAATCTATCTTAGCTGTACCGAAAAACACATCAGTAACTTGGTAGTTTGTTTCATGGATTCCTTCCTCTGGACTCTGGTACCGGCTGAACAGTGGTTCTCCTGCCTCCTGCATTGCTGACACTTGGTCTCTCCCTTTCCCATCATCCTCAGGATTGATTCCCTTCACATCACTCCTGTCTTGGGTCCTCTGTTGCCTGGAACTCATGTCTTCTTTTTTAGTCTACTCTTCCATTTTGCTGAATCATGTCCTTGTGTAGCTTCCTTAGTAAGGGTTCATAGAAGAAAAATTGGGGGGATATGAGGTCTGACAATTAAGTTGAGGAACTTGCTGCTGGTATGCAGTTACAGTTGGCAACACTGAACAAACAACTTGGTAAGGGTTCCTGACCTTGGTATGTCTGTCTCTCAGCCGTGTTCCTGTTGACGTGTGACAGTGTCTTGCTGAGACAATGTCTTGCTGAGTGGCGTTCGTTATTGCGTATTTGCATGCTGTGATATATCAGAGCTTGAATTGGAGAAAGGAACAAATATTAATTTCTTATTAAACTTGGCAAAAGTGGAATGAAATCAGGGACATGTTAGTCCAAGTTTACCAGGATGATGCCATTAAAAAAAATAGCAGTGTACAAAACGGATTAAATATTTTTCTAAGGGGAAAGTGTCACTGATGAAGAGAGGTCAGGGCAGCCAGTAATGACCAGAACTGATGAAAACTTTGCAAAAATTTGTCGCACTATGCATCAGAATCATTGGCTGTGAGAAACATAGCAAAGCGAGTAAACATTGATAGAGAAACAGGAAAATTATGAACACTGTGAGAGTGGTTTTAGCCAGTAGACAAACAACTGTATTGGAAAATCTCCCTACTCACCCCATCAGACCCCCAGTGACTTTTTTATTTACCTGAAGATGAAGGAAATATTGAAGGAAAGACATTTTGGTGACATTCAGAACATCCAGTTTAATATTACGTACAATGACAGTGCTGGTGGTCATTCTAGAGAAAGAGTTCCAAAAGTGCTTTGAAGGGGGGCTAGGTACTAGCATGGGTGCATAGCTTCCCAAGGGAAGGACTTCAGAGGTGACCATAGTGATACCCAGCGGTGGGGTATCTAGCACTTTTCCTTTTTTTTTTTTTTTGTAGAGACAGAGTTTCACTTTATTCACCCTCGGTAGAGTGCGGTAGCGTCACACAGCTCACAGCAACCTCCAAATCCTGGGCTTAGGCAAATTCTCTTGCCTCAGTCTCCCAAGTACCTGGGACTACAGACGCCTGCCACAATGCTCGGCTATTTTTTTGTTGCAGTTTGGCCGCGGCCAGGTTTGAACCTGCCACCCTCCCACTGAGCCACAGGCGCTGCCCTGTGTAGCACTTTTTCTAGGATGAGCTCTTGAATTTAGTTGTTAGACCTCATATTTGAAAATGTTTTTTTTTTTATCATACATGTACATTTATTGGATGGTTTGGCTAAGTGTAGAAAATTGGTAGAAAATTTTTCTTTGAGTTTTGAAGGTTATCACTTACTGTCTACTAATATCCGCTCTGTTCTGGTTCCTAGCCCTTTGCATTGTGTGTCCTCTTTTTCTTTTCTAATTAGAAACTTGTAAGGTTTGTCATTTTATTCTTAGTAACCTGAAATGTCACAGTTATGTATCTATAAATCTAGATACTAGGTGGTTCTTTCAAACTCGGTACTAGTAACTTCCCTTTGGAGAAATTATCTTGTGTTATTTGTTTGATACTTAACATTATAATTCCACTAATTTCAAAAAAGCCTTTTTGTGTGCCTGTTCTATTTTTACATCATTCTGCTCATTTTATATTTCTTAATCTGTTCAACAGGATATTGTTGTTTTCTTTTAAATTTTTCTTTTTCCATACTATCTGTTGTTTTCTCAATTCTTTTCTTTCTGCCAGTTTATTTTAGTCTGTGGTATTGGGGCTTCCTCAAATGTTTTGTGACCCTTGCTTGTTTGCTTATATTTAGAAGAAAATACTAAAAAAACAGTTGGAAAATCTGTAAGGGGCTGGGTCACTGATGGCCTTCCCTGTGGATATTAGACATGGACCATGCTTATAGTTGAGCACTTCCTACCTGTCAGAAATTGTGGGTCTTTTCTCAGATAGTGGCCGTTCTCCCCAAAGAGGAATCCTCCCATCTCCTACCTGGATTGGGGGTGGAAGTGCGAGTATAAAGTTGACTCCTACTGTCCGAGCAGCTTCCCTGAGAAAGAGGGTTGGGGTAGTCTTCGTATGCAGACTTGTACCTGCTCCTCATACCCCAGCTGCACTGTTCTGAACACTTGAGTCCTCTAGCCCAACCTCTCCAGAAGGTGAGTCTCAGTGCTAAGAACTCTGTCTAATGCAGACATTCCCAGTGGTCTACAAGGGAATCCGTCTATGTTACAACTTCTAAAATTGTGTTGCCTTCTGATCTCTGTCATCTGCTGTTGTCTTTTCCTACCCTTCTTTAAAAAGGGACTTTTACTTAGTGGTTTTAGGAAGGACCAGAAATGAAACACAACTGTTAAAATGGAAGTTTTAACTAGAAAAATTATCCATGTAGCTCAAATCTGTATGCGTGTGGTAAAAAGTTAAAATGTCGGCTTGGCGCCTGTGGCTCAAGTGGCTAAGGCACCAGCCACATACACCTCAGGTGGTGAGTTCAAATCTAGTCCGGGCCGCCAAACCACAATGACAGATGCAACCAAAACCAGGCGCTGTGGCGGGCGCCTGTGGTCCCAACTACTTGGGAGGCTGAGACGGGAGACTCGCTTGAGCCCAGGAGTTGGAGGTTGCTGTGAGCTGTGATGCCATGGCACTCTACCCAGGGAGACAGCTTGAGGCTCTGTCTCAAAAAAAAAGTTAAAATGGCATAACAATATATAGTGAAAAGTAAAAGCCCTGTTCTCCTTAGTCTCCACTTAACCACCATTTGCAGTTCTTCTGAACCCTCCTAGAAATTTTCTGTGCCTGTATATTTGTGTACGCTTCACTGTCTGGATGCCTCTGAGCTGAAACTCATTTTTCATCATTTGCTTCTAATGTCTGTTATCAGTTTTTTCCAGGAGACTAAACTTTTCTCCATCAGGGACTCCATTTTGTTTACAGCTGCATCATTAGTACCTACAAGAGTATCTTGTGCTTATGAGTTTTTTTCATGTTTCTTGAGCGACCTGAAACAGGAGCTGGGGACAGGGAAGGCAGTTTTAGAGGCTGTTCTCCAAACCCATATTTCCCAAGGCTTAAAAGTACTATACCTTTCTTAGGGTTTGTCTAAATGCTAATCTTCTTTCTCTTCTTTTTATTATTTGAACAGAAGATTGAGAAAGGCAGTTTCTGGGAAGAAAAGAAATCAAGCCATCAGCAAAAATTAAAATGAAAGAACATTTTATTTTTTAATTTGTGTTCATATACATGTATATATTTTTTTTGAGACAGGTTCTCACTGTGTCACCCTTGGTAGAGTGCTGTAGTATTATAGCTCACAGCAACCTCAAACTCTTGGATTCAAGTGATTGTCTTGCCTCATCCTCCCAAGTAGCTGGGACTATAGGCACCCACCACAACACACAGCTGATTTTAGAGATGGGGTCTCTTGCTCATTCTATTTTTGAACTCGTGAGCTTAGGCAATCTACCTGCCACAGCCTCCCAGAGTGCTTGGGTTATAGGCATGAACCACCAGGCCCTGTGGAAGAAACTTTGTTTTTTTGGGGGGTGGGGTTGGGGACAAAGTCTTACCTTGTCGCCCTGGGTAGAGTGCTAGCCTGCACAATGCTGGGCTAATTTTTATTCTCTTTAGTAGAGATGGGTCTTCCTTTGCTCTGGCTGGCCTCAAACTGGTGAGCTCAGGCAATCCACCTGCCTCAGCCTCCCAGAGTGCTGGAATTACAGGTGTGAGCCACTGGGCCCGGCTGAAGGAACATTTTAAACAGGAGTTTTAATATAGTCTTTAGAATGAAGGGGAAGAAACAAAAACAAAAACTTGTACCTGTACTGTCTAACATATAGGCCTCAAAACAGTAATCTATGCTTATCATGTTAAGAAAAGAGTGTTTTTTACTTTTCATCATGTCTTTTGTTTTGTTTTGTTTTTTTTGAGACAGAGCCTCAAGCTATCCCCCTGGGTAGACTGCCATGGCATCACAGCTCACAGCAACCTCCAACTCCTGGGCTCAAGCGAGTCTCCTGCCTCCGCCTCCCAAGTAGCTGGGACTACAGGCGCCCGCCACAACGCCTGGCCATTTTTTGGTTGCAGCCATCGTTGTTTGGCGGGCCCAGGCTGGGGATTCAAACCCGCCACCTTAGGTGTATGTGGCTGGCGCCTTAGCCGCTTGAGCCACAGGCGCTGAGCCTCATCACGTCTTTTGAATAGTTACTTCTTTGTTTATGCTCCTGTTTTTTTAGAATTCTGTTGGCTTTTTTTTTTTGGCCTGAGGATATCTAGAATAAAACAGAGGACAGATTTGTTCCATATTACACTAACTCTTAGTCAATTTTAGCTTCGTAATATTTCCAAAATTTGGGGTTAATTTTTTTTTTTTTTTTTTTTTTGCAATTTTGGCCAGGGCCAGGCTTGAGCCCACCACCCCCAGTATATGGGGCCAGGGCTGGGGCCAGGTCCCTGCTCTTTGAGCCACAGGCGCCACCCCAGGGTTAAATTTTTTTTTGACTTTTTAAAAAATCTCTTATTGTAGATTTTTCAACAATAGGAACTTAATTTATATGAAATTATTTTCCCTCTTTCTGCAATAGAAATCAAATATGTTCTTTTGAAACTTAATATTGGTTTAAAATAGAATTTAGGTGGCAGGATGTAGCTGAATTATGATATATTTGAACCTATTCCTAACTTAGTGGGATTTCTTAAATTGAGTGGATTAAGAAGGAGAAAATTTATTTTTTAAGATTGATCTTTAGGATTTCTAAAAATAGGTTTATTACTTTGTTTTTCAGTAAGCACACAATATTCTGGTCTTTTTGTTTAAACTGGTTTGGGAAAATCATCAAAAACTGTTAACTCGTTGTCTTTGCAACTGTAAAAGTTACAACTGAAAACTGTGGCTTTGGTCAGATACTTTCCAAGTGCCTCAAACCTATTGGCTCTTCCAGTCCTCTCATTTGCTTTGCTTTTTCAGGAAGCTGCTTCCAAGCCTAAAAACTAAGAAGCCTCGGGAACTCGTGCTGGTTATTGGCACAGGCATCAGTGCTGCTGTTGCCCCTCAGGTTCCAGCCCTGAAATCCTGGAAGGGGTTGATCCAGGCCTTGCTGGACGCTGCCATCGATTTTGATCTTCTAGAAGATGAGGAGAGCAAAAAGTTTCAGAAGTGTCTCCATGAAGACAAGAACCTTGTCCATGTTGCCCATGACCTTATCCAGAAACTCTCTCCTGTGAGTACCCTGCGGTGTGCATTTGGAGTCTTCTGAAACCTCAGCATGCTGAGTATAACAGGGACGTTCATGTCTAGCTTGTGGGTTTGCATATTTGGCTCTTCTAATGAACGTCTGTTTATGTGCCCTATTCAGGGTAATTATCTTTTTAACTCGATTGCATTGTGTGAATGAGAGATGATGACTCCTTTATATGTGTACAAAAAACGAGACTACTGTCCCATCATCTCTGTTTTGAGTTTACTCTTTCTGCACTCACTGCTGTAAAAGCTGTGTTCATGGCATCTGTGCTTTTATTGGAGATAATTTTTATCATTTTATAGATGAAGAAAAAACAGATTTTAATATTAATATTTTAATAATTAGATTAACTATTGAAATAAATTTGAGGTAGGAGAGAGGTTGGCAAGCTCTCACCTAATGGGCATAATGTAAGGTAAAGGGCTCAACTACAACTTGGACTTTATCTAACAAATAGAAACAGTGTAACCTAATCATTTGTACCTTCTTATTAATCTGAAATTGATATAATACCCTTACAGGTTATCTACTCAAAATATTTGTAAGGAATTTTGCCTTGTTTTATCAAACTGAGTTAGAAAAAAGTCCTTGTCTTGATTTTTCTTAAAAATTTCTTAAAAGTCAGGCCAGACATGGTGGCTCACGCCTGTAAATCCTAACACTGAGAGGTTGAGGCCAGTGGATCGCCTGAGCTCATGAGTTCGAGACAAGCCTAAGCAAGAACAAGACCTCATTTCTAAGAAATAGGTGTTGTGGCAGGTGCCTGTAGTCACAGCTTCTCGGGAGGCTGAGGCAAGAGGATGCCTTAAGCTGAAGGGTTTGAGGTTGCTTAGAGCTATAATGACACAACACTCTGGCCTGAGTGACAGACACAGTGATACTCTGTCTCAAACAACTGTCCTACCAAATGCCTTGGATTAATTTTTCTTTTTAAATCTCTTCCCAGCGCACCAGTAATGTTCGATCCACATTTTTCAAAGACTGTTTATATGAAGTATTTGATGACTTGGAGTCAAAGATGGAAGATTCTGGAAAACAGCTACTTCAGTCAGTTCTCCACTTGATGGAAAATGGAGCCCTTGTATTAACTACAAATTTTGATAATCTCCTGGAACTGTATGCAGCAGACCAGGGGAAACAACTCGAATCCCTTGACCTTACTGATGAGAAAAAGGTAAAAAGGAAAGCATTAGTCTCTTCTTCAAGCTAGTGAATTGTATCTTCATTAGAAAAGCTGTTTTCTAGTTGTTAGAGAGACAGAAAGATTTTGTGCCCTGATTATATTTTTGAGAGTTTTGGTTTTTGGTTTTTTTTTTTAGACAGAGTCTTACTATGTTGCCTTAGGTGAGTGCCGTGGCGCCACAGCTTTCAGCAACCTCAAACTCTTGGGCTTAAGTGATTCTCTTGCCTCAATCTCCCAAATAGCTAGGACTACAGGCCCCCGCCACAATGCCCGGCTATTTTTTTGTTACAGTTGTCATTGTTTAGCAGGGCCAGGCTTGGTGTATGTGGCCAGCACCCTAACTGCTAAGGCTAGCACCCTCAGCACTATGGGCACTGAGCTGGGAGTTTTATTTTATTATTATTTTTATTATTATTTTTTTTGAAACAAGAGTCTCACTGTGTCACCCTCAATAGAGTGCCATGGTATCATAGGTCACCGCAACCTCAAATTCTTGGGCTTAAGCAGTTCTCTTGCCTCAGCCTCCCAAGTAGCTGGGACTTCAGGCGCCCACCACAATATCCAGCTGTTTTGTTGTTGTTGTAGTTGTCATTGTTTTAGCTGGCCTGGGCTATAACCTGCTAGCCTCAGTGTATGTGGCTGGCACCCTATTTTATTTTCATTTTTATTTTTATTTGAGAGTCTCACTTTGCTGCTTGTGGTAGAGTGCAGTAGAGTCATAGTTCACAACAACCTCAAACTCAGGCTCAAGAGATCCTCTTGCCTCAGCCTTCCATTAGCTGAGACTACAGAGTCTTGCCACAACACCGGCTGTTTTTAGAGATGGGGTCTTGCTCTTGCTCTGGCTGGTCTCCAACTCCTGAGCTCAGGCAGTCTACCCGCTTCGGCCTCCCTGAGTGCCAGGATTACAAGTGTGAGCCATCGCACTTGGCCAGTTGTACCCTGTTTTAAAGTAAGATTAGAGGAAGTCATTTGAACTCTAAGATCTCCTTAGCACTTGGTGATGTCAGGTGGTGTGGCACTGGTAATAACTGATTTATCAATTTCGTTCTTGGATATGTTCTTCATGGCATGTTGAAAATGAATGAAAACTAATGCTGGTTGAAAGAGCAATTTCCAAGCCAGTGACAGCTAGGTTGAAGTTAAGGTTTAGTGGAAACCTCAGCAGACCTTTTAAAAACATAGCTGTACTGTCTATACCATAATATTCCCATCTACCATAATATTGAATTATACAGAAGGTGACAAAATATGCATACACATTTTAAGAAAGGAAAAACTATTAAATTTTTAATATGCAATACATACTGATAACAAAAGCTGGATGTAAGTCACATTGGGTATATCTTGTCATTGCGGAAAATTTAGTAATATTCAGGGGGGGTTTTACAGTTTTTTAAATTTGTGGTTTTTTCCCCATCTTAAAATGCACATACATTTTTTGGTGCCCTTTGTAGGTGGTGATCTGTGTCAGCTAACAAAATGAGTGCTTGTAGGGCGCTGTTGTTCTGCTCTGTGATGTTTGTGATTTCCATTCTTCACCTTGTTCTCCTCAGGGACCTGCATTTATGTCCATTTTAGAGCCCAGCTAAATAGAGTTGACTAGATAAGTGATTCAGCCGTTCCATCCACTGCCACAGCACTCCTCTGTGTGGTTTCGCTGACCTTGAGGCTAGATTTTTTTTTTTTTTTTTTTTTTGCAGTTTCTGGCCAGGGCTGGGTTTGAATCCGCCACCTCTGGCATATGGGGCCAGCACCCTACTCCTTTTAGCCACAGGCACCGCCCTGTTGAGGCTAGATTTTTAAAGGAACTTGAATGTAGAGAAATGACGCCATGAAGACTTTCTCTGGCTGGAATACACTTCGCCTGCTCCCTCATGCTGTGTGTCATCAGCATGAACGAAGGGAGACCTTCCTTCTCCTCTGAGAGACCTTCCCTGACTCACCTGTTTAAATTGGGCATTTACTTTTTGCTCTCTTCCCTTATCTATGTCCTTCCTTCATAGCACTT